ATTAGTCATTTTATACATAGAAGGAGCTAATTTTGAAAATAGACAATAGAAGAGGGTATGTTTTAAAAAAGACATAGAACTAGGTGCAAATGCCCCAATTGACATTGACTAAATAAATACAACAATACAAATTCATGTATTATTTTATGCACTTCTAAAATATTTATGAACTTCTCAATCAAAATCCACATATATATATTTACATATATATATATATATATATATATATATATATAACTAATTTGAATATGGATTGTATAAATTATTTACACCTCTTTCGATTCTTCTTTTGGGGTAACACAAATTATTTATTATTTACTATTAAATAAGTCATGATTGATCTTTACTCATCGATCACTTACCCACCATTAATAACAATTTATTGACTTTTATTCTAATATTTTTGATATATAACATATATCAATTTATTTATGCCGATTATAGGATATGTTTCATGACAACTATAAGATTTCACTAATTGGATTAGAAACGTTTCATGATAACTTTCACTTAATCATATATATGAAAGAAGAAGAATTATCTCCATATGGGTGACACGTCAGCAACGGAGAGAGTGCCACGTGTCCACTAAAAATAATTAACAAATTAATTTCATTCCAATTATTAAAGTACATTTATTATTGTCTATATTTAATAGTATCATTATTTTATTATTAAATTTCTTTTTCAATAATTTTTTTTTATGTTTTCATACATGTTTGGAGGTTTTTCACTAATTTGTTGTAGTCTTAATTCAAAATATGAGCAAATAATAGTATAATCGGTTAGCTAATGGTTTTAGTAGGTTATTTTCTTTACTCTCTATCTATATTGGGTGAGGAATTCAACGTATATCATATAGGGTGAGGAATTCAACGTATTTTTGAGGTTTCATCAAATTCTTTAGGTTTTTATAGTCTCACCATTACTACCTTAAAATTGGTTTAGGACGAAAATTGTTTCAAGATTGTATGAGTGATACATTGTTGAGAATGTTGCTAGAAAAAGAATTTCGACAATGAAAGTAGTTGTTGGTACGTTAAGTTCAATTGCATGAATAAATGATTAGAAAACTATGAATTATATTTATCAAAACATGACATTAATGTAACACCCCGGTTTCAGGAATATGGTGGTGCATGCAGAGAGGTTTAAAAAAATTGAATTGGCTACCTATTTCACCAAAGTACACTTATCTTTTCAGTCAACTATCCTGATAGAACTCCACTGTTAAGCGTGTTTGAGCTGGAGCAATTTCAGGATAGGTGACCTTCCGGGAAGTGATTGTCGGAATTGTGAGAATGAGGACAAAACACAGGGAAAAATCATGTGGTGATTTGTAGGGTCAGTAACAAGTCTTTAAAGCTTCCCAGACGTAGCGGACCGGCCGTCGGAAGATGGTGAGCCCACAGACCGAGAGAGGACATGGGGTCCATTAAGAGAGATGGCGCTCGGGGAGTTACAATTGGGAAAAATGTCATTATAAATCCCCAACTTATTCAAAACGTTGATTTAAATCCTCAACTCATGACGAAACGAAATAAATATCAAACTTATGTTGACTTTCCAAATAAATATCAAACTTATGTTGACTTTCCAAATAAATATCAAACTTATGCTGACTTTCCAAATAAATATCAAACTTCCGTTGACCTGGCCATATTAGGTACGACGTTAAGTGGATTAATAAATCCTCAACTCACGACGAAACGAAATAAATATCAAACTTATGTTGACTTTCCAAATAAATATCAAACTTATGTTGACTTTTCAAATAAATATCAAACTTCCCTTGACCTGGCCATATTAGGTACGACGTTAAGTGGGTTAATAGATCTCGTTAGCGGATGTAATTTTCTGTTAACATATATGTTAATTGATAACGACATTATTTCATATAACAACAAAACGACGTCGTTTTGTCGTAACGATTGAATTAAATCCCTAAAGTCAATCTTAGATCCCCAAATCGAGCAAAATCCATAACCCTAAATCTTCATATGATTTGAAACTCGGGATTTTATTGAACAGTTACGACAAAACAATGTCGATTTATGTTTAGAAGGAATACTGTCATTTTTATTTAGCGCATCTGTTAACAGAAAATTAATCCCGTTAACATGGTATGTTAACCAGTGCTTTCACGCCCGACCCAAACCGTCCGGTCCGACCGGTTAACCCACGACCCAGACACTTTTCCGATTTAGGTTTAGTGCTAACTGTTAGGGTAAACTTTTTATAGTGACAGACCCCACCGCAAAGCGGCCCCATATCCAGGAAAATATCATTTGATTTTGGAATAAGATATAGAGTTTTAGACTCTATTCAGTCATTTTTAGATTTTTTTTTTAGTTTTTAAACTCATTTGATGCTTTAGATTTAAATGAAACTTCATTGTGCCGTCTAAAAAGAATGAATAGAATGGTGAGAGAAATAACCGAGATTAGTTGTTTTGAATTCGCGATGTTTTATTAGTTTATTTCTGTCATTCGCGATCTTCTACTATTTTAATATTTGTTACGGTTTTAAACTTTTAAGTTGGATTTAAAATTTTATTTGAATCACTTTATTATTATTGTTAGACTTCATACTTTGTAATATATAAGGAATATTTTTATTTTTATACTTATAAAAACTATATAATATTTATAAATATTATATATATTAAATAAAATTTTAATCAATTGACCAGTGGTCGAACCTGGTTGACCCAGTGACCCGGTAACCTAGAAGGTAGTCCGGTTCACCGTCTGGGTCGGGTTTAAAAACATTGATGTTAACTCACTTAACGTCATGCCTAATATGGCTAAGTCAATGAAAGTTTGGTGTTTATTTGGAAAGTCAACATAAGTTTAATATTTATTTGGAAAGTCAACATAAATTTGATATTTATTTCGTTTCGTCGTGAGTTGAGGATTTAAATCAACGTTTTGAATAAGTTGAGGATTTTAATGACATTTTTCCCAGTTACAATTAATTAAAACAAAAGAATAATTCGTAAAACCCGCAGCATAGCACGGATAATCATCTAGTAACTGATATTTTAGCATCAAATGACAAAAAAGTACATTGACAAAATGGCTTGGAATGCTACATTAAATGCAAAAGGTTATATGTTCGAAATCTCATATAGTAACAATTTGTACCCATTGAAAACTTAAGATTTTGTTAAATTTAAACTATTGTATTTTACTAAGAATTTTAAATGATATGTGTTGTCGTGTGAATTATTCAATCAGGATTTTGAAATGCTTTTGAAATCTAGTATTATTGAGATAGTAATTTAAAAAAATTACCCCAATGTTACTGGAAATATTTTAGGGAGCCATTGGTTGGACTGTATCTTAATGACACAACTCCAAGAAAACTTAAATCTCCAATATTAAACCAATCAAGCTTTAGCTCTCCTAAAAAAACTCACAGTCTAAAACAACTCTTTTTAAAAAAAATATTTTTTTTATGTAACTCTTAAAATTTCTACATAACATGTTTTTGTACTTTAAGAGTGGTAAACAATTTTTTCCTCACGCTTGAAATTTTAATATACCTTTTTCCTAGACATAAAAATTATATAATAAAATTTAACGAATCATTTAATTATTTTACTTCCTTATTACATATTTGTACATGGTACTATAAACATAAGATTAAATAATCTATTTACAATATTTTTTCTAATGTAAATAACATATATAAAAAATGACAGAAATTATATATATTATAAATATATATATATATCTATATATATATATACATATATCACTTTAATTGTTATAAATTTTGTTTATAATATATATTTTTTTACCAAAATTTGTATAATGTACTATTTATTATATGTTTCATTTATTATCATATCGTAATATATTACAAATTTTTAAAATTCTAATGCTTAAATTTAAATCGACAATATTGAACTAATTTTACTAGGCATTTTGTACTATTAACATAGCTACATAAAAAACTTACAGCTACAGCCAGCAGAAATATAGCAAAAACACTACAAAAAAAAAATCTACAGCTACAATCCAACCAATCACTCATTTAAGAATTAGATTTTATTGACTTTTAAGGTAGTATATATAGATAAAAATATAAATATCATGCTTTAAAGGGATTTGGGAGGATATTATAACAAATCATAGCAACATTCCTAATTTTACCCAAAAATAATTCAAACTATATAGTTGAATACATTCCTAGATACTCATTACAAGATCAAGAAAAGATAAGAAATTTACGAAAAAACGTAGAAAATATTTTCTCAAATTTTTTAAATCATGAAATATGCTACTTCGTTGGTGGTTTTATTTGTTCTCATGTTCTTTGTTATAACTCATGCTAAAGGTAATATATTCTTCTTCTTTTGATTTTGATAGTTTCTCGCATAATACAAAATATTGATTGTAACTAATAGCCAAAAAAATTCCGTAATTTTTTACATCATCAATTATTTATCTAACATGTTTTATCAATAATTCAACATTTTTTTGATTGATACAGTTGAGAACAGAAGAAAGAAAGATAGCATTGTAGCATTTTTCGATGGATATTGTGCTGATGCTCCATTATGCAAAGATAGCCTTGGAAAAAAAGATTTTCCTTACTGTCAGTGTCTAGATGTAGCGTTTCCGCGTGGACATTACTGCTATTGTTTTAATCATAGGATCTGAAAAGAATGTATTCAAACGATTTAGAATAATTTTTATTTAAATAAAATAATAAAAAATCTATGTATTCACATATGAAAATTTTAAAAATCTTCTAAAATCTAAATGAATAATTTTAAAATATAAAATCAAATTTACTACGGATTCTTCTATACTTTTTTTGATGTTTAAGTGAATTTTCCTAGTTAAAAAAAATACACAATTGACAAAATCAGATCATAATAAATCAACAAAAATATTCCCTTGCAGAGAGAGGCAAGATTGACTTATTGGCACGCAGACCTAGGCATTTTCGTTTCGTCTCCACACGCCTCCAACGTCAGATTCATCATCATCAACCTCCATGATCGTTCCCAATTGATCAATCACAAACCTTATCTTCTTCTTCTTCTCTGTCAGTATCTGAATCTGCATCTGGAAGCGTGACTTCATCATCATGTATATAACTGCTTCATCTTCCGCTTCTTCCTCTATCATCCGCGCTGCTTCTTCTCGCTCTTCTTCACTCTTCTCCTTCCGATCGTTTTTATCTCCCTCCGTTTCATCTACTTCTCCGTCGTCACTTCTCGGTCGTAGATCTTTCGGTACCATTTCACCTGCTTTTCGTTCACTTCCTCGTTGGAGCCATTGCTTTCACTCAAAACCTTCTCCGTTTCGCTTAACCACTCAGATCAGAGCTGTTTCTCCAGTCTTAGATCGTCTCGAGAGAACCTTCTCTTCCATGGGTAAGTTTTTGGATCTGATTGATCTTAGTGCTTGAATTTTCCGATCTCTGTTGATTTAGTAACAGTTTTTTTGCGATTATTATTTTTCAGCGTCAGAGCATCCGTTTAAAGGGATCTTCACTACTCTTCCTAAGCCTGGTGGTGGTGAATTCGGAAAGTTCTATAGCTTACCTGCTCTTAATGATCCACGAATTGGTATGTATTTTTGAATGTATCTCTATGAATGAGTTTATGAAGGACCTGAATCTAAGAGGAGTGATCTATTTGCAGATAAACTTCCTTACTCTATTAGGATTCTTCTTGAATCTGCGATTCGTAATTGTGATAACTTCCAAGTTACTAAGGAAGATGTTGAGAAGATTATTGACTGGGAAAAGACATCTCCTAAACAAGTCGAGATTCCGTTTAAACCGGCTCGTGTTCTTCTTCAGGACTTTACGGGAGTCCCAGCTGTTGTTGACCTTGCTTGTATGCGTGATGCGATGAATAAGCTGGGCAGTGATTCCAACAAAATCAATCCCTTGGTATTTTGTTATTTTGCGCAGATCGATGCTATTTGTTTAGCTTAGGGTTCTTCTAGGATTTCTTATGTATACCGTGTCTCTCAGGTTCCGGTGGATCTTGTGATTGACCACTCAGTTCAAGTTGATGTTGCTCGATCTGAGAATGCAGTGCAAGCAAACATGGAGCTTGAGTTCCAGAGGAACAAGGAGAGGTTTGCTTTCCTTAAATGGGGTTCTACTGCGTTCCAGAACATGCTTGTTGTGCCTCCTGGCTCTGGTATTGTGCATCAGGTAATTCTCTTGTAGTGCGCGAGTCCATAATTTGTTTCTAAACTTGTTCTGACATTGATATATATCCTTTTCAACCTCATGTTTTCAGTGTAAGAAATGATTTTGTCTCAAACTAACCACATCTTGAAAATTCAGGTCAATTTGGAATATCTTGGAAGAGTTGTGTTCAATACCAAAGGCCTTCTCTACCCAGACAGCGTGGTTGGAACTGATTCACATACAACTATGATTGATGGTTTGGGAGTTGCTGGATGGGGAGTTGGAGGCATTGAAGCTGAGGCAACAATGCTTGGGCAGGTAATTATTTTGATTATGAACATTATCCAGATCCTATGTTTGTGAATCTGGTGACTATATTGTACGACTATTCTGCTCCAGTTTAGTGAGGTTTTATATTCAATCTTTCTTATACTGATGACTCTTTTTTGCTTGACAGCCCATGAGTATGGTATTGCCTGGTGTTGTTGGATTCAAACTGGCCGGAAAAATGCGTAATGGTGTAACAGCTACTGATTTGGTTCTAACAGTGACTCAAATGCTGAGGAAGCATGGTGTTGTTGGAAAGTTTGTTGAGTTTTATGGTAATCTTTATCTTTGTGAGCGCTTAAGTGTTATGCTCCTTTTTAATAGACATTTGTTTATTGGAGCATTCTAAAGGCTACATTTTTCTTCGTAGGTGATGGTATGAGTGGGCTGTCCCTAGCTGACAGGGCAACCATTGCCAACATGTCTCCCGAGTATGGTGCAACCATGGGCTTTTTCCCTGTGGATCATGTTACTCTACAGTATCTCAAATTGACTGGAAGAAGCGATGAGACGGTGAGTGTTTGGCTTTAATCTTCCTTCTATATATATATATTCAGATATCTGGTCTGATACAATACTTTCATGGCAGGTGGCCATGATTGAAGCATATCTTCGAGCAAACAATATGTTTGTTGACTACAATGAGGTAAATCAGCCTTATCCTTTATATTTTTGGGTTTTAAGTAGTTTATCTTGTTTCAGGTTCTTATTTGACTTTGCTTTGTTAATAAAATTCAGCCTCAGCAAGACCGGGTCTACTCATCATATCTAGAACTGAACCTGGATAATGTTGAACCTTGCATTTCTGGACCAAAGCGGTATGGATTCTGTTGGTTTTTGTAATCACGAATGTTATTGTCTGATTAATGGATCATGACCATATTATTGATCTCTACTTTGCAGGCCACATGATCGTGTTACTTTGAAGGATATGAAAGCTGACTGGCATTCATGTCTCGACAGTAAAGTTGGGTTCAAGGTATGTAATTAGATGTTTCGTTTTGTGGAGGTCTAATTTCTTAAGCATTTGCTCGTTCAATAGACTGGCTGTTGGTGCACATTTTGGATGCCACTGTTTATCTCTGAATAGTGCTTTACTCTCCGCAGGGTTTTGCTATACCTAAAGAGGCACAAGAAAAAGTGGTAAATTTTTCGTTCAATGGACAACCAGCAGAGCTTAAACATGGAAGTGTGGTGATTGCTGCAATCACAAGCTGTACTAATACATCAAATCCCAGCGTCATGCTTGGTGCTGGTCTTGTTGCGAAAAAGGCTTGTGACCTTGGACTACAGGTTGATTTTACGAGGTCAAACTAGAAATCTATCTGATGCCTTGACATATTCTGATCTCTTTTCAAAAATTTCTTCTCCAGGTTAAGCCTTGGATAAAGACAAGTCTTGCGCCGGGCTCAGGAGTTGTTACAAAATACTTATTAAAGAGGTATGTCGTATTGTTATCAAGTTCTTTGTTGTGAAAGGCTAATTCTTTCTTATGTGATGGAAAATTTAAGTGTAACATTTGACTCCATGCAGTGGACTGCAAGAATATCTGAATGAACAGGGTTTCAATATTGTTGGCTACGGGTGCACTACATGCATTGGGAATTCTGGAGAAATTAATGAATCAGTGGGAGCTGCTATTACCGAAAATGGTATTATTGAGATTCACAACTAGACTTTCTTTGGACCTTCATCTTTTATGTTAATATTACATATAAGTGGCTAACTGTTTTCAAAACAATTTGTGCTTGTTGTTAGACATTGTGGCGGCTGCTGTGCTTTCCGGGAACAGGAACTTTGAAGGGCGTGTTCATCCACTAACAAGAGCCAACTACCTTGCTTCTCCTCCTTTGGTGGTTGCCTATGCTCTTGCTGGCACGGTAATAAATCTCAGGAACTTGTTAAAGTTCAGCCTTACATTTTTATATGTGATAATGACACATGAGCCACCATCATATTGGTAATCTAACATTGTTTTTTCTTATTTTCCAGGTTAACATTGACTTTGAAACGGAGCCTATTGGCACTGGAAAGAATGGCAAGGATGTTTTCCTAAGGGATATCTGGCCAACCACAGAGGAAATTGCTGAGGTATATATAACTTAAAGCCGGAGAACAAAATTTCCTTCTGGTACACAAACATTAAATTACTCTTTTGACATATGGATCAGGTTGTTCAATCCAGTGTTTTGCCTGACATGTTCCGAGCAACATACGAGTCAATCACCAAGGGTAACCCCATGTGGAATAAGCTGTCTGTTCCTGAGAATACCCTCTACTCATGGGATCCCAACTCAACTTACATTCACGAGCCTCCATACTTTAAGGACATGACCATGGATCCTCCAGGGCCACACAATGTGAAGGATGCTTACTGTTTGCTCAATTTTGGGGACAGTATCACCACTGATCATATCTCACCAGCTGGGAACATCCAAAAGGACAGTCCTGCTGCAAAGTTTCTCATCGAGCGTGGCGTTGACCGTAAGGACTTCAACTCATATGGAAGTCGCCGTGGGAATGATGAAATAATGGCCAGAGGCACTTTTGCTAATATCCGTATCGTTAACAAGCTCATGAATGGTGAGGTTGGCCCTAAGACAGTTCACATTCCATCTGGAGAGAAGCTCTCAGTCTTTGACGCAGCCATGGTTTGTATTTATCTAACTAAAATTTGTACTACTGACTGTACGTTTATCATGTTGAATGTCTCCTTATCATAATGTCAAATTTATCAGAGGTACAAGTCATCTGGTGAAGACACAATTATTCTTGCTGGAGCTGAGTATGGAAGTGGTAGCTCACGTGATTGGGCTGCCAAGGGACCCATGCTACAGGTTTAGAACCGCTTCTCTCGTTTGTTTTCGCATAAACCCATTGTACTGTTTTATCTGAAACAAAAAAAATTGGGATTGTCAGGGCGTTAAAGCGGTGATTGCAAAAAGTTTTGAGAGGATTCACCGAAGCAACTTGGTGGGAATGGGAATCATCCCGTTGTGCTTTAAGTCTGGTGAAGACGCAGATACTCTTGGATTGACTGGTCACGAACGCTACACGATCCATCTCCCAACTGATATCTCAGAGATAAGACCCGGCCAAGATGTTAACGTCACTACCGACAACGGAAAATCTTTCACTTGCACAGTCCGCTTCGACACAGAGGTAAATAAAATACTCCAGTCTTTAAAATGTTTGGTGAAAGATAAAAAGAAGAAAAAACACATTTCAATGTGAACGAACTAATAATGGTAAATAAATGCGCAGGTGGAATTGGCATACTTCAACCATGGAGGCATACTTCCATATGTTATCAGAAACTTGAGCAAGCAATAGTGAAGGAACCAACACAATTTATGGAGCAAAATAAAAGAGATTTTTTCTGTTTAAAAATGTCATTTTTAAAAGGCAGATAAGTCTGTCTAGGATAGGTTAAAAAGGTGAGTGATCTCATGCAATATGAGTTTGGGCTCCCAAGTTTCGCAACTTGCAAGAGTTGAATATTATTGTTTTTGGAATGGAATAAGAGACGATCTCTTTTGACAGACCTTTAAATCTTCAAATAGAGGAAAAAATGTCGCGGATATAACCAATGCAGTGTTAGATTTAAACTTGTAGACTTGTGTAGAAATCTCCCCATACATTAAAACTACGTCGTTTAGTTTAGGGTTGCATTTGGTCGTCTCTCTCCGAGATCTCAACGAGAGTCATCGTGATTTTGTGTGTTTTTGATTACCTGAAATCGAAACAGCTCCCACAGCTTCTTCTCAATTTTCTTCAATTGTTGTTACCCTTCACGACTTTCTTCTGGGTTCGTCGGAACACTCACGTAAGCTCTTTTTCTGGGTTTTGCTTTCTCATCTTTCTGGGTTTCTCTTTGTCGCAAGGCTTACTGATTAATGCCTAGTCCTCCTTTTTATATGTATTTCTTCTCTTTTGGGGCAAAACTTGAGATTACATCTGTTGTTTTATGGCTTAGGGAATTTGGTCGTGTAGGAGAGAGATCTCAACGAGAGTCATTGATATTCATTTGGTCGTCGCAACGCAACACTTAATAATGGTAAGCTCCTATTTTGTTGTTCATATATGATTGTAACGTTAATGGTGATTGAATCAGTTTTTGAATTGATTTTGTTGTTGAAAGACCAACTCTTTTCGATTTAGAGATTGAATTTTTCCCTATCAAAGGCTCTGTTTTGGATTTTGGCTTCTTATGCATACACGTTACACGCTCAATGTAGATTTGAAGGAAGTTGCGACTCTTTAAGCTCTTAAGAGTAAAGCTAAGGCTAAGCTTAAAGGAACGTTTCAAGACTGGGAAGAACAGGTGGTTCTTTATCGAATTATTTGTTTCGTTTTATATAATGAATTTGGATAATTGTTATGACTTTTAGTTCTGGATTTTGTCTTTTTTTTTTGGTAAAATTTATTAAAAAAGGTGGTTTCACCTCTTTGCCGGGAACCCAAGCATTGTAAATAGTCCCTCCCACCGTGAATCGAAACCAGGTGGCGGTAGTTACAGCTGCAACCCCTTTACCACTAGGCCAACTCAACGTTGGTGGATTTTGTCTTTTTACTTATGATCATTTGCTATATTGATGCCTCTATTTGATATGTTGTCACTGGTTTAATAGTTTATTGCTTACCAAACCTTGAAGATGGTCAAATGCTGCTCTAGTCTCTGTTGTTTACTTTTAGGGATCATAGAGAGCCGTAGAAGCATGTTTGAATTGTCACTGTCGATTTCATGTTGATCTTTGACGGGCCTAAACGGGCTTTTAGAAATATGGCGGGCTTAAACGGGTAGGAGACTAAACGGGTTTCAAAATATTTAGTTAAACAGGCATGGGCCTAAACGGGCCGGGTAGCCCGTTTTAACATTACTAGCAAATTCTCTTCTAAAGTGGTACCCTTCTCTCTTTAATCCCAAATTCTAGGATTTTTATGTTTGTTAATTGTTACCGTTTTTGGCAAAGTTTAGTTTTTTCTCAAGTTGTAATCTTTTCGACGATTTTGTTTTTGAATGTAGCAAAACATGTATGTTGAGTTGTGTTCGGTGAGACCTTTATTTGGTGGCGCTATTTCCACCGTCTTCCCTCAAAGATTTCAGGTTCTGTCGATAACCCTTTTCTTTTTTTGCCGCTGCTAATTAAATTCACAGTTTCCTGGTTTATTTAACGTAAAAATCTTCAGGATGTGAGTGATATCAGACAAGTTCCTGATCATCAGGTTTGGTTCTTTCTTTGTTCAAGGATTTTGCATAGTTTCTAATTAAGATGTGTAGAAAGAATCTTTAATTGTTGTTGTTTGATTATTGTAGGAAGTGTTTGTGGATCCGTCAAGAGATGAGAGTTTGATTTTTGAGTTGTTGAATTTCAAGACTGATGTTGGTGACAATGGAAGTGCTTCTTGGTTCCTTAACAATCTTGCTCGTGAGCAAGATGCTGAAGGATTTCAGGTTAAAACACTACACTAGAACTCTTCTTATGTTATTTTTTGGTAGACTAACCAACTTTAAGAACTAGTATTATTTCTCTAAAGTAGATCTAGTTTCTTGCGATTTCAAGATCGAAAGACTACAAATTGTTCAAACACAGATTTCTCAAAGTTAGACCCTTTTGTTTTCTGAGATAACAATAGTGAGGTTGTTTTATGGACAACTGTTTTTATAAATAGTTGGAGGGATTTTGTTGTCGTCAATTCAGTTTCTGAAACTAGTTGAAATAGAAATAATATTGATGTAGTTTTTGTTTAGTCTTTTACTAAGATTGATATCTATTATGAAGACAATCTAGTGATGTTGCTTGTGTTATATTAAGTTGATAGAGCAATCAGAGGTCGTTGAGGCGCCTGGATTATCGTACAAAAACATCCCTGCCGTTGCGACAACTGCTATTGGAGAGATGGTAATGTCCATACACATGATGTTTTGGATTGTTTGCCCATAAGTTTCCTTTCTACTCGTTTTCCCTAACAACAATCATTACAGGCTATATCAAAAGGAAGACAGGCAAGAGAAGCACAAAACTTAGTTAGGGTAATAAAGTTCTTCCTAGTTCTGTCACTTTTTTCATAAGTTTGTTACTTGAGAGTTGAGACACAGCTGGTCTTATATGATGGTTTATTCTGCAGGTATATGTGGCAAATCTTCGTCTTAAGGGAGTTGATACAGATGTCTTAGTGACTGCGTATGAACCTATTCTGATAAAGTAAGTCCCACAAACTTGAAATTTTGAGTCACTCAGTATTATTGCAAACAATTGAATATAGATAGATATGCATCATTTTGATACAGAACTGGAATATTAAAAGATTGTTGCTGTTTCACATGTCTTTTTTGTCTAATGTGTTTGCGTATTGTGCAGCCCTCTGAGCGAAAGTGCGGATGCTGTGGGATCTGGTTTAGCCGTCTCAGCTTCACAATCTGGAATTATGCCAATGTGTGATGTCATTAAACAATCACTCTCCACCTTCAAAGTCAATGACTGGAATCTTTTCGGTTCCTCATCAAGCCTGCCAATTTGATGTATCAACTCTTGTAGAAGTTTGCTTTGCTTAAGATTTGAAGTACATTGATTCCTTGTAATTTGTTTGGTTATTCTTTTGATCTTATTAGGTTTAGTAGTTGGAGCTTTATAAATAGGAACTTATTCCCCTTATGTACGGCAGCTTTGGCTTTGAATAAACAGAGCCTCTTCTCCCTTTTCCTCCATATGTCCAAAATAAAGCGGATCTGTCTTTTTCCCGCGTGCTTTCAATGGTTCCCTTAAAACGGTCATCGCTTTTTGAATCATTTGGAGAGAACTTGATCTTAATTGCAAGACTGCAATCCACTAGGTCTAAATTATGTGTTTGCTTCCCTGACTTTTTGATTACTCAGTTGTAAGAATGCATCTCTGTCATGGTGTAACAGAGAACTTCAACGAGAATGTCTAATCTTCCTGATCAGAATGTCGAACAGTGAGTTCCTCTCCTCTAGATGAAAAATTTGGTTTCTCAAGACTCTTTTTGCAAGTTGATAAATTGTTGGTAGGTTTTTACTAAGCAAAATGTGTTATTCCATATGTCCAGTAACATTTAATCTTCTGCTAACCTTGAACCGGGAGATACATCACTAAAAACGGAGGATGAAGATACTCTTTCAAGTGAAGAGGGAGATAACGATTGCGAGATTGGAATATTTGTTTATGGCTTAAGATATTTTGTGGATGGCAATCAAAGATAGAGTGGTGTTGTGAATCTTGTGATGCTCTGTGTTTGGTTTAGATTTTGTTCTGCATCACTGTGTTTCCGGTTTGGTTCTTGTTCTGATTCTTTTGCTTTACTTTTCTGATTTTACATATTGTTTGGGGTCTTCTTTGCCTTTGAAGAAGAAGAAGAAGAAGCTCTTCTTCTCTACCTCGGTAAACATTTTATAATTTTGTTTATTTTTCATCAAATTGGTTGTGATTTTTTGTCCACCATTTCATGTACCTCCGTAAACACACTAAATTTGATTTTCAATTTTTACTTTGCTCCACCATTTCAATATGATTTTCAGGATTATCTGTCTACTTTTCATAATCTCTTGTGTTTTCTGGAACCTTAGGTTAGTTGATAATGAAGCTTCTAGAAATTATTCTTGGTGGGCGTGGAACTATATGGGAAGATCAGCTTGGAGAATATGCTTTTTCGAATGGAGTCTGATCAAGTTAGTTCTCAATGAAGAATTTAAAAGTGGTGAGTTTTTCCTGCAACCAAGACAAAAGAAACAAAAAAATATTAATGGTGATTATATCAAAGCTGAACTATGCGTTTCTTTTTTATTTTGTGCTAATTAGAGTTTGGAAATATATACTCATTGTTCTAATTATTCAGGTGATTTTGTGATTCTGGTTCATCATAGTTAATCAAGGAAGCCGCTCTTAGATTTGTTACTAAAACACAAAGTACGGTTGTCTTAGTTTATTTTCCAAATATGTTCTCTTCAATCTTTTTTTCTGTTTGGTCTTTTGATTTTGTTCTTGGAGTTTGATGTTCTGTCACGTTTCTTCTGCAGCTGCAAATTCCAGAGCCTATAATCGTTGGGATTTTCAGGGTGTTAAAGCGGTGATTGCAAAGAGTTTTGAGAGGATTCACCGAAGCAACTTGGTGGGAATGGGAATCATCCCATTGTGCTTTAAGTCCGGGGAAGATGCAGATACTCTTGGATTGACTGGTCACGAACGCTACACAATCAATCTCCCAACTGATATCTCAGAGATAAGACCTGGCCAAGATGTTACTGTCACTACCGACAACGGAAAATCTTTCACTTGCACAGTCCGCTTCGACACAGAGGTAACTAAATACTCGAATCTTCAAAATGTTTGGTGGAGAAAAAAAGCATTTAATGTGAATCGAGCTAATAATGGTAAAATAAATGTGTAGGTGGAATTGGCATACTTCAACCATGGAGGCATACTTCCATATGTTATCAGAAACTTGAGCAAGCAATAGTGAAGGAACCAACACAATTTATGGAGCAAAATAAAAGAGATTTTTTCTGTTTAAAAATGACATTTTTAAAAGGCAGATAAGTCTGTCTAGGATTAGGTTAAAAGGTGAGTGATCTCATGCAATATGAGTTTTCTTTTCTACAGTTTCAGTGGTTATTACACGTTTTGCAAGTTTTGCAAGTTGCAACCGCTGAATGTTATTGTTTTTGGAAAGGAATAAAAGTGGATCTCTTTTAACAAGCCTTCAAATATAATTGAGGATAAAATGTCGGATATAACCAATGCAGTGTTAAGATTTAAACTACATTGCGGTCACTTGTCGATTATAACAAGTCATTTTACCGTAAGTCCTTGCAACAATAACACAAATTCAATACAAAAGTATAGAAAATATTTAACTAGCTTTTGGAAAAAGGCAATTTCCTTTTACCATGTCAAATCTCATTCACGGTGATTTTGCTGTTGTTGAGCTCCTGGCCATTCATTCGCTCAACCAATGGCAGACCCAATTGAGAAGAAGGGGTACTGTTGATCTAAGCCGTAAAGCAGCGATTGATATAAATTGGTGTCTTTCATTGTTACTTTTGTTATGTAAAGTTTTATTTTGGTTTTGAATAGGACTATGATAACGATGGACTGCCTCAAGGCTTTACACTCTTTAACCATCTTCTTTGTGGTGAATTTTTTTTTTTCTGGACATTAATTTGTGGTGGAATTAATAGGGAGATTATACTGTTACTAATCCGAAAAAATAGCAAAATAAAACAATGAGGAAGATTATTTTCGTGTTATGGAGATAATTATGCCAATGATTTAATTTCTTTTCGTGCATACAATTCGTTTTTGTGTACATAACAATATCCCGACCTTTATGGTCAGAGGAATACAATACAACTTTGATATTACTCTTTACTTTAAAGGGAAGGAAAACATTTGAACTTGACGAGAACTCTCCAAACAGAATCAATGGCGACTACTCATGCAGTGATGGGTGTGATCAGGTCAGTTATGCCTGCTTTTCGCAATAACAACGACAAAGTCGCTTTCGTAGTTCACGCTTCTTTCGTTGTTTCCGGTTTCATCCTCACTGCAACTGGGCGTCCTGCCTTTGCCTTTGACGCTCTGTCGTCATCGACCACTGAGAGTTAGTGTGTTAGGTTTTTTTTTTTTGTATACTATTTTTTCCTAGAGTTTAGGATTCTGATTTGTTCGATTTTCGATTTTTAGGTTTGGTTGGGATTACCGGGTGGAACGAATTCGATGAGGAGTATGCGTTTGTTTATAAAAGTCCGGTGAAGGGATCGAAGAAGAATACAGTGAATAAATTTCTGGTTAAGTGCTTGGAGATGAATGGTAAACTTCTTGTTGATGCCATAGCTGAGGATGGAAAAGAATATGCCCATCTCCAAATAGAGTATGTCATTGTTTCTCTTTATCTCTTTACTTTTGCTTGAATCTCAAGGTACTGAAACTTTCTTGTTTATTTTCTTATTACAGAGTTGGGAATTATACTGATGAGTCTAGAGACGAGAGGGATTACGATGCACAGTTCAAGAATTTTGGCAAGTTAGTGACTGATTTGAATAGTGAGATTTTGTGTAAGCTAAATACTATATCTACTACAACCAAGTCCAGCTCTGAGAAAAATGAAGAACCTAGAGATTATGTTGGGATAACTTCATCTTCAAAGAAACAGAAGAAAATATGTGTATAACTTCATCTCTTTGTGTGGTTACATAAAGATTATATGATCTAATATTTGCTTTGGTTTTGGTTTTATTTCCCTAGCTACAACTTGAATAAAAAGTTTCTGCTTTGCTTTAGAGATTACCTTTGCTTAGCAAATGTATCGGTGGCCTATAGGCGAACGCTTGAACATATTGAGAATGTGAGAACTATATCATCATCTCTTTGCTTCAACTACTCTTCAGATGAATATATGTATCCACAACGAGTCATCGATGGAGTAGTTTGGGATCTCGATCAATGCTACATGAATGTTTTAAAGTATCGCCTTTTGCACTTGAGTTTTGATCTTTAAGTTAGAAGAATTCTGGTAATATAAGAGAGCTAAAGCATGAGTTTAGGTAAAAAGTATTGTTCACAGAAGTAAAGTTTGAGTTTTGCCTATCCTATAACTCTGTCAATCATTTATGAGATGCATGGTATGAAATGTATTGTTTCACAGAAGTAAATTGAATTTGGATGGTTTTTGAGGATAAAAACCTGAGAAGTGCTAATTTGCAAGCATATGATAAGATGAGGAAAGCTGCTCAAGAAGAGGTAAGTCTCAAGGTTTAAGTCTTCACAGATGAATCTTCTGGAATACATTAAAAAGCCGAGAGTGAGTACGACGAGCATGGGTCTCATTTGTCGAAGACCCGGAATCTACTTTGGATAATGCAGCATCAAGATGTAATGGATAGGTATTTGAAAAGAACAGATTCTGTTTAACCAATAACTCTTCAGGTGAATAATAATAACACCAAATCTCTTGTTTTTGGCACTATATATCAACAGGTTAATCCTCATTGTTGGATTTTCCCTCTTCTTTTGTGTTGTTGTTTACGTTGTTTCAAAGCGCATCGGAGTTTGGAAGCTGCAACAGATGGCTACTGTGTTAATGTTCTTCAACAACAATGCATGAACGATGTGAAGCTTACAAATCCTTGTATCAAGATTAAATAGAATATTTGACTATTACCACAGTTGATCAATCAATTTTAAAATCGCAAATGAAGAAAAAGATTTGTACAAGAACATTCTAGTTCAAGAGCATTAACCAACGAGCAAAACAATCACTCTGTACCATTTCAAGAGCAATAACTCTGTCAATGCTGAAGCTGAAGCTTCAATCAGTCTTTGGCATTGAGCTTCTCCAGGAGGATCTTGTTCAGTAAACCTGGGTTTGCCTTGCCTTTCGACATTTTCATAATCTGAACAAAGCATTTATGAGTTTGGACTGATTCACGAGGTACAAGTTGTCAAGAAAATGTGGATCGTATCTGCCATACCTGGCCAGCAAAATAGCCTTGAAGCTTGGTTTTCCCACTGCGGTACTGCTCAAGCTGTTTTGGGTTCTCAGAGACCACTTGAATAACCATTTTCTCGATCTCCACAGGATCGGTTATCTGCAGCGTGTGTCACACAGAAGCAAAAGTCATTTCTTCAATTAAATATGGCATGTTGGAAAGTGAAAGATGTCATTCTCTGGATATAACATTGACTTGCCTGAACCAAGTCTTTTGCTTTTATCATTCCTTTGACGGTTCCACCTTTGGCCAATAGCTCAAACAGTATCTGCAAAAATGGAAAAAGTTGCATTGATCCAAACGAAAGATGATTCATTGTTAAATGGAAGTGAACTGACCTCTTTTCCAATCTTTCCGCTAATGGTTCCATCTTTGATTGCAGCTATCAGTTCAGCCAACTCGTGCGGAGTGAGTTTAATATCATTGATAGAAAGTTTCTCATTTTTCAAGTAAGCAGCAATATCACTCATTATCCAATTTGCTGCCAACTTCACTTCAGCGCCCTTACCAATGACTGCATCGAAATATTCTGCAACCTACGCCATTCATTAAACAACAGTTTACTCGTCTTGCTGTTATACAAAAAAAAATCGATATACTCACCAAATTGATCAGAAAGTCTACTCTTTTGCTCTCAGCATTGTCTTCTTGTGAAGATAAGATGGGTAGGTTCATTATGAAACTAAAATACTAGCAACATCGAGCGAATAGGACTTACACTGACGTCATTTGCGAGGAAAAGCACATCTTGCATGCCTAGACCCATTGCCTCATATCGCCTGCGCTTTGCTTCAGGAAGTTCCGGTAAAGAAGCACGAATGCTATCAACATATTCTTTGGTGAGGATAACTTCTGGAAGATCTGGTTCTGGAAAGTACCGGTAATCAGCAAGCCCTTCTTTTTTCCTCATTGTTACTGTTTTCTGAACATCTACTCAAGTTAGTGCTGGTGGATATAAATATTGCAACCTAATGAAAGAATTTTTAGCTTAGAACCTGAGCGCCTTCTTCCCAAAGCCGAGTCTCCGTTACAATCTGATCAGCTTTGCCCTGATTATAGAGAAGTGCCTGTCTTGATATCTCAAAGTCAATTGCTCTGCTTATTGCTGAAAACGCGTTCAAATTCTTTATCTCCACCTGTAAGTCGAATCAGCAACGAGATAAAATGAAACTGCAATGAGTGGATCATCCCTTCACTGGTTAAACTCAGAATCTACAAATGACAAAAAAATAAAGAGAGAAATAAACTTCTTAACCTTGGTGCCAAACTCAGCTTGCCCAATAGGACGGATTGAGATATTGACATCGCAGCGAAGAGAGCCTTCCTGCATATTCCCATTGCTGACTCCCAAATACCTCGCAATCCGTTGCATTTCACAAGCGTATTCAGCAGCTTCTATACCACTTCTCATATCAGGTTCAGAAACAATCTCAAGTAAAGGAACTCCTGCTCTATTCAAATCTACCTGTACCATTAAACAAACACATAAGAAACAGAAACATCTTGCACCTGAAACCTTAAAACCATTGCAAGAATCTGATAAACCTAACTAAAAACTATAAATTCCATACCTGAGAGTAATCTCCAGTGTCTGAATGAAGTAACTTGCCAGCATCTTCTTCCATATGAACCCTAGTGATACCAAATCTCCTATGTCCACCACCAAACTCAAGTGGAATATCCAAATCCACATAACCACCAGAAGCAATAGGGATATCAAACTGAGAAATCTGATAACCTTTAGGAAGATCTGGATAAAAATACTGCTTCCTATCGAATTTAGACTTAAGAGACAAATCACAATTCAAAGCTAAACCCAATCTAACACCAAATTCAACAACTTTTGAATTCAAAACAGGCAAAGCACCAGGCAAACCCATACAGACAGGACAGATACTTGTGTTTGGATACGACCCGTAATTGTTAGAGCAACTACAAAAGGCTTTTGTCAATGTAGAGAGCTGAACATGAGTCTCTATCCCAATTACAGCTTCGTAATCTCTCAGAATCTCATCAAGTTTGTTGCTTTTGTGGTTTTTTGGTGCGACCCTTGTTGGAGAAGACTGTTTAGCTTCATGGGTCGTCGTTGTTTGGCTCCCACAAGACCTCACGGAGAAGTTGTTACTTCTTCTCCTTCTTAACAAGCTAGTTCCAAGAAGTGAGAACTGGTTTGGCTGAAATGTTCTGAACAATGTGGTAGACATGTTTTTAAGGATGTTTTATAGAATCAGAAATGAAGAAATTGAGTTCATGAGGAGCTTAAGCAGACAGAACCTGCTCGCTACTCAGCGGAGTTGTATCGGAGAAGAGGCGTTGAGTTATCTCATCATCTTCTGCGCAGAGGTGTAATCCGAATTGGGCTTAATTGAGTTATTGGGCCTTTTTATGTCTTTTTGAAGCCCAAATAAAAATGGAATGCTCTGTTTAGCTGTTTGAGTTTTTAGGTTAAATAAACCTTAGGGTTTAAAGTTTATTTCTGTTTGGAAATCTTTCGCTTCTAATCCGTTTAGCTTCTGCCTCTGGAGATGTATGATTATGAAGAACTTTCTTTCGAAAACCTCTCTCTGATTTAGCTTCTCTTTGTTTCTGATGCAGAGTAAGGTTTGGGCTTTTTACTTGTTAATCAAGTTACTGTTTTATTTACATTATCATTAGTTTTCCTTTTTATTAGGATAATGGTAAAATCTATAACCGACTAGGTTTACGAAGATTAGATCGATCTCTTTGCTTCATTATAAATAAGTTGTTTCTAGAGCTTTGGTAAGCCAAAACCTCATTGTCTTAGCCGCCAGGCGATCCTCGTCTAAGCCAAGAACCGGTCTTGTCACCAGCTTCTTCTAGAGATCTTGTGTCACAAGTTTAACAAAATGTGTCAAACGGAGCTTAGAGAGACTAGAATAGAAATTGCCAAATATTCTATCAAGAGAGCTGCGCTAAGGATTCAGCGTGAAAAGCGGCAAAGGGATGATCCAGATGAAGATACGAATGCTGAGACTAAGCGGGCTTTAAAGCATGTGAAAGACATGGTTCTTGATGTAAGTAAATTTGGGGATGATCGTCCTCTTACTGGTTGCTCCTTGTCACGAGATGGAAAAATACTCGCCACATGTTCTCTTAGTGGGGTTACTAAATTGTGGGAGATGCCTCAAGTTACAAACAAGATTGATGTCTTGAAAGATCACAAAGAACATGCAACTGATGTAGTGTTCTCGCCTGTGGATTATGATTGTCTAGCAACTGCTTCTACTGATCGAACTGCGAAGTTGTGGAATATTGATGGAACACTCTTACAAACTTTTAAAGGTCATTTGGATCGGCTTGCACGCATTGCATTCCATCCATCGGGGAAATACCTAGGGACAACGAGTTTTGACAAAACATGGAGATTGTGGGATATAAATACAGGAATTGAGATTCTTTCGCAACAAGGTCATAGTCGTAGTGTCTACGGAATTGCATTTCAACAAGATGGAGCATTAGTAGCTTCTTCGGGTTTTGATTCACTTGCACGAGTTTGGGATCTTCGTACTGGTAGGAGTATTCTTGTGTTCCAAGGACATATCAAACCGGTTCTCTCAGTGGATTTTTCTGCTAATGGTTATCATTTGGCATCTGGTGGTGAAGATAATCAATGCCGTATTTGGGATCTACGAATGAGAAAGTCGTTGTACATTATACCAGCTCATGTGAACCTTGTTTCTCAAGTAAAGTATGAACCACAAGAAGGCTATTTCTTGGCTACTGCCTCATACGACATGAAAGTTAATATATGGTCAGGTAGAGATTTCTCGCTTGTTAAAAGCTTAGTAGGACATGATTCCAAAGTCGCATCTCTAGATATCGCTCCAGATAGCTCATGTATCGCAAGTGTTTCGCATGACCGCACCATCAAGCTTTGGACAAGCAGTGGGAATGATGAAGACAAAGGGAGAGAAACAATGGACATAGAGCTCTAGTTTCTTTTTTTATATTTGTGCGAGAAAAGTTAGTATACGGTTAAGCTTAAAGTACTTCAGGTTTTTGTTTGTACTCTATGTTATTATATGAAGTTGATTGTTGCTTAAATAATCAAATTTGTTTTTCTACTAATCTTATGTAAACTTGCAAACTTTGCCAAGTAAAGGTAGGAAAAAATCAAATCAAATCCAAATTTCTTTATAAGCTAATTTATTAATTTTTGTATTTTTCAATTTTAAGAAATCAAAATCAAAATTTAGTGTAATAAAACCCAGCATAACTAATTAAAATAATAATTCTTGATTTGATTGCATTTTTATTTATATAATAAAAACTTTAAGCATATAACATCAATAGAATACTACTTGAATTAAAAAAAAAATTATATAAATATATATATTTATGGTATTGCTACCAAAAATATATTTATTTATGTTATTTTAAAAAATTTGGATTGGAATTCAAAGCATGAACCAAATGAATCCAATCGAGTCAATGGCTTCCTTTAGAGAGAATATTTAGAACTATACCCTTTCATCCCAACTGATACTCGCCAAAAATGATCTCTAAGCTTTGAAATTAGGAGATTCGAACCTCAATGTATTGCACATTCTAACATCATCATTATGTTTTTGAAACCAAAAGCTATTTTTGAGAGTATGAAAATTTGTCTAGACAAACACCTTTAAGATTTTAAATTATTTTTATATAGATAATCTTATTATATAAAGTATGGTTTTCAAAGTTAATAACTCACGAGATCGTGACACGTGTCAAATATTTCGATCTCAGATTTTGCCCTGTGTCAAACAAATTTTTCTTTTTAATAAAAAAGGTAAAAAGATAATTATAAGAAAATTATAAATGTAAACAACTTAAAAATGTAAAAAGTGTTGTAAACCACATAACGGATGGACTCCATAACCGTGGCCCATGTCCATGTTCTAGAAGGTCCATGTCTAGCTTCTAGAAGACTCGCCCAACCGACCAAGGCCAAAGACGGTTTATGTTAGTCTTAGTGGGCTTTAGTGTTTCCTAGTCCAATTGGGATTTGTCTCCCCTATTGTGTATATATATAAGTTGTAACTTCATTCATTAATCAATAAGAATACACGAGATTCATAACATGTTATCAGCACGAGTTTGCTCTAGAGAAAGAAAACCACCTTCAAAAAAAGCCACCGACACTGTTCATCGTCGACACTGTTCATCGTCGACACTGTTTGCGGTTCGTTGCAGCAGCGTGAGTTACCGTTACCGAGGTCTTTAGCTCCCGGTTCTAGTCCGTACAACCCCATAAGGTGAAAGGTAAAATCCGAAACCCTAAAACCTAAAGACCAACATCGAACTTGAACCTAAAGAAATCGCAACCCTAAAAATCGGATATTGTTTGAATCAAAGTGTTTGCTATTGCTTGCTTTGCTCGCTTGTTCTTAGGAGAGTTATTGATTCAAAACCTAAATCGTATTGTTGAAAGAAACTTAAATCGAATCGAAACCCTAAAATTCTAAGTTAATAAATCCGATTGATTGAGGTTGCTTAGGTTGTTTAGATTGATTGTTTCTATGATTGGTTGCATGCATAAATTGTTAGAAATAAAACCCTCATATCGCATGAACCCTAGAAACCAAAACCCTAGAGAAAGCTTAATCCTAAATAAAATAGGAAAACCTAAGTAAAAAGAAAAAACCTAAAAAAAAAAAATCTAAAATCCTAATCAAAATAAAAATTTCTAAATCCTAAATCCTATTTGAAATAGGAAAATCTAAAAACCCTAAATCCTATTCTAAATAGGAAAATCTTAAATCCTATTGTAAATAGGAAAATCCTTAATTCTATTCAAAAAATAGAAAATCTCTAAACCCTAATTAAAATAGGAAATCATAAATCCTAATCAATATAGGAAAACCTAAAACCTAATCGAAATAGGAAATCCCTAAAAGAGGAAATTTAATCCTAAGAGGAAAGTCAAATCCTTAGGTAAATCGATTCATGATTCGGTCTTAAATACCGCATGACATTAACGATTACATGATCTTGACTCAAAACCCTTTTTGCTTGTAGATGTCGAATTACAACTTGTATTTTACTGCCCTAAATATCTGAGGAGATAATTATTTAAAATGGGCAATGAATACTAAGATTATCCTAAAGTCAAAAGGACTTGGTAAATGTATCACATAAGGCAATAATGCCAAGTGAGAAAGATAGATACAAGGCAATATTAATTATTAGCCAGCGTCTTATTGAGAGTTTTAGAATCCAGGAACTATAAGTCCGTGGATGAGTCTATTGCTAGCTGAGCAAAATAATGACTTACTGATGAGATACAGTAAATTAAGATCTCATAGATTAACCCCATTACTTGATGCCAATAAGGCCGCAGAAGATAAGAAAGAATCAAAAGAATCTAACCACGTCCAGAGTGATAGACCACACGGCCGTGACCGTGGTGGATGGAAAGGACGTGGTTGTGGCCACTATAACTCATCCGGCCGTGGGAACCACTATAACCGTGGTTGTAGACCCAATTTTGGCCATGGTCGAGGGCGAGGAGGCTGTGGTATTTATAAACCACAACACTCGACCAAATCAGTGTGCCATAGATGTGGAATGGGGAACCATTGGGCTAAGATATGTAGGACTCCCAAACATCGTTGTGACCTCTATTAAGAGAGTGTAAAAAGGAAGAATCCTAAAGCCCATTTGGTCTATAAAGATGGTAAACATGATCAAGATAGTCTAATGGAGTATGAAAATTCTGATTGCCTAAAAGAATCAAGTTGATAAATCTGAATTCGACATCAAAACCTCTATGTTTTCTTTGCCGTTTTATGTGTTCATTAATTGTTATCTCCTTGAATTTATTTGATATTATTTTATGTTTAAAACATGATTCTTGTCCATATTAGAAATGGCTGAGGACAAGAACATACTTGTGGTGGATAGTGGATCAAGCCACACAATTTTGAAAGACAAGAGATATTTCCTAAATCTAACATTGAAAAATGCCAATATTAGCACCATAGCGGGTATAGCTAGTCTTATTGAGGGCCACGGTCAAGCCCATATTCTTTTACCTAAGGGCACGCATCTTGAAATAAGCGATGCCCTATATTCACCCAGCTCGAAGAGGAGCTTATTAAGTTTCAAAGATATAAGATTGAATGGTTTCCATATTGAAACAAAGGGTGAAGGGAACAAAGAATTCCTAAATATAATTGAGATCACCCAAGGACATAAGAAAGTCCTAGAGACTATACCCGCATTATCCACTGGTCTCTACTATGCTAAAATCGATATGATCGAAGCTAATATGGCAATGAACAAAGAGTTCATCGAGAAATTCACTTTATGGCATGACCGGCTTGGCCATCCGGGTCATAGTATGATGCGTAAGCTTATGATAAATTCAAGGGGGCACACCCTAAAAGAGAAAAGAGTTATCCCTAAGAATCTCACGTGTGAAGCATGTTCACAAGGGAAACTCATTATAAGGCCATCACCGGCTAAGGTAAATAAAGAGACCTTAAACTTTCTGGAAAGGATACAAGGGGATATATGTGGACCAATACACCCACCATGTGGGACATTTAGATATTACATGGTCCTCATTGATGCATCGACAAGATGGTCGCATGTTTGTTTATTATCCTCTAGAAACCAAGCGTTTGCTAGGTTGTTGCCCCATATCATAAGACTGAGAGCCCATTTTCCAGATTTTCCGCTTAAGACTTTACGTCTAGATAATGCCGGTGAATTCACGTCCCAAGCGTTTAATGACTACTGTATGTCCATGGGGGTAAGTGTGGAACATCCCGTGGCACATGTACATACACAGAATGGATTAGCGGAATCCTTCATTAAACGAATCCAATTGATAGCTCGACCATTACTCATGAGGTCGGAGCTTCCAGTAGCCGCTTGGGGACACGCTGTTTTACATGCATCAGAGCTTATACGCATAAAGCCATCTAGTGAACATAAATATTCACCATCCCAATTACTCACGGGTCATGAGCCAGACATATCCCATCTAAAGATTTTTGGGTGTGCCGTATATGTACCGATTGCTCCACCACATAGAACAAAGATGGGACCTCAAAGGAGGATGGGAATATATGTTGGATTTGATTCTCCCACCATTATTAAGTATCTAGAGCCAACTACGGGTGATCTATTTAAGGCTAGATACGCGGATTGTCATTTTAATGAATCTGAATTTCCTACTTTAGGTGGAGAGACGAACAAGCTGGTCGAAGAAATATCATGGAATCAAACATCTTTAAATTGGCAAGATCCTCGGACTCTAGCATGTGAATCAGAGGTCCATAAGATAAGAAATTTTCAAAAGCTAGCTAATGAATTGCCTGATTCCTTTGTTGACCCAAAGAAAGTTACAAAATCGTACATACCAGCTTGTAATGCACCAGTACGTATTGATGTCCAAAAAGGAATCAATGAAGTTGCTACCGAGTCTAACGCACGTAAGAAACGTGGTAGACCAATAGGTTCCAAAGATAAAAATCCTCGAGAATCAAAGAAAGGTGCAATAGGAAACGATGTTAAGGAAACCATAGACATGGTCGCGGCAGACCCTAAGGAACCGAATAGAGAGATTTGGGACGCCAATCCTCATGGTCCTGAAGGGATAGATAATAATGAGATCTCAATAAATTATATCATGTCTGGAATAAAATGGAACCGCAAAGATGTCGACATCGATGAAATATTTGCATATAAGGTAGCACTTGAAATGAATGAGGATCATGAACCCACGTCTATATTAGAGTGCACTCAAAGATCAGATTGGCTAAAGTGGAAAGAAGCCATAAACGTGGAGTTAAGTTCATTAAAGAAAAGGAATGTGTTTGGTCCGACCTTAAGGACACCGTCCGAGATAAAACCAGTAGGACACAAGTGGGTCTTTGTGAGAAAGAGAAATGAGAATAATGAAATCGTGAGACATAAGGCACGGCTTGTAGCACAAGGATTCTCACAAAGACCGGGGATAGATTATGAAGAAACATACTCCCCTGTGGTGGAAGCAACGACTTTTAGATTCTTAATAAGTCTGGCAATAAGAGAAAATCTTGATTTGCGGTTAATGGATGTTGTGACCGCTT